CTCTCTCTCTCTCTCTCTCTCTCTCTCTCTCTCTCTCTCTCTCTCTCTCTCTCTCTCTCTCTCTCTCTCTCTCGCTGTTATTGTTGTTACCATGTCATATGACTTACACTTGTGACGATCTGGTTGGGAAGTGGGAGCCATGTACATAAACGTTGTTGCTGTATTCTGGCGTAAGTGACACACACTTCCCACCCGTGTTGAAATGTAGGGTTCCTTGCGTGTTTGCTGTTCATATGACATTGCATCTCTCTCTTTCTCTCTCTCTCTCTCTCTCTCTCTCTCTGTGTTATTGTTGTAACCCTATCCCATAACTTACGCTTGTGAGGATCTGGTTGGGAAGTGGGAGCCATAAACGTGGACGTTGTTGTCGTATACGGCGTTCTTTGTGTGGTTGTGTGTAAGTGTGTGTGACGATCTGGTTGGGAAGTGGGAGCCATAAACGTAGACGTTGTTGCCGTATGCGGCGTTCTTTGTGTGGTTATGTGTGTGTGTGTGTGTGTGTGTGTGTGTGTGCAGGACAAGACAAAGATCAAGCAATATCCTTTCGACATGCAGCACCGCAACCTAGATTGATGTATGCTCACTTGATCTTGTCTTGGCTAACAACAAAACAGATGCTCTTCTCTCTCATGCTCCATGATGAAGTGCGATTTGTTAGTCCATATTTTGGGTGAGAGGGTAGTCTGATCCTTAAGATGGAATTACCACCCCCTAGGCTAGGTTTGTCGATTTGTGACAAAAAGTAAACTTTAATTTATTGTTCATTTTTTTTTCCTGGTATTTCGTTGGTTCGTTAATCAGATATAACTGTTTGTGGACCCAATAGAACGACTTTCTTCGATTCCGACTAAACAAGCGTTTGTGCTTGAGAACTGAGTTCGGCGTGGAACACACACATCGACGGAAGTGCTGCACAGGTCAGTATCCGGTGTATTATGACACTTTTTTGTTAATTTTTGACCTCTTATTGCAACTACGAATACCAATTGTATTCAAATATAATTCGTGGCACGCTTATACAGCAAATCGTACATTTACTGTATGATAGATAAGATTTATTTTCCTCGTATTTGTCCCTACCTTTTGATATTTTCATTACATGGTTGTTTTCCACCATTCAAGCACATCCCTACCTTTCTTCTTCCTCTTAATTAGTAGTTAATGCCTTTCATTGCCTCTGGATGACTTTTGTGATCTCATCAACCAGATATGGTAGAATAATGTGGATCCCTCCACAAAAAAAAAAAAATTGAAATAAAATTCCGGTTAATAACAATGTTAGATATTTAATATACATTTATATCGTCAAACAGAGCTCATGTTTTGTGGCCCGACCGAGAAACGGATCAGGGGCTATCTGGTAGCCTACACCCCAACTATTTTGAACATTTTCTTGTAAATGATACTCATTTATGGGAACTGTTAGCGTCGGATCTAATTTCTCTCTCACCTCTCTTTCTCTCTCTCCTCTCTTTCTCTCTCTCTTCTCTCTCTCTCTCTCTCTCTCACTGTTTATCTCAGTCTAAAGCTGAGACATGTGGCACACTTTTCTACAGATTTATTGTAGTGAATTTAAATGGGAAAATGGGACAGTAACGAATGCGTACAATTCATTTTACGGTTTTATTGCATCGTCGTGAACTGAAAAAAATATCAAAAGAAACAATGTAATGGAGGGGTTGGGGGTGTATGGTTTACGGTTCAGGGCTTAGGGTTCAAGGTTCGGGGTTTTTTACATCGTTGAGAGCAAATAAAGATCGCTTTGTTTGCATCGTCGAGAACCCTAAACCCTAAACCAAGATCCGACAGAAAGAGCAAGTTTCATCATGAGAATTTAGAGGCGTTAAACAATATTATATTATATCACCTAGCCCGTATGCGTCTTTAATACCCGCGAGTGGGAGTGGACTACTTTCGAAAAGGGTTCTTGGCGGTAGCAAGGTGAGTTCAATTCTGCGAGTACATGGAAAACATTGGCTTTATGCTCAGCCTGTCTCCGATGGGTGAGGGGAAGTGTGGGTTCGACACAACACTATTCTTTGTTGTCTGGCGAAGGTCGGCCCGCACCAAGGGTGATCTCCGATCACACGTTAGACCATCTGCAAAACTGCGCATCATTTCTCGACGACGGACCAGGGTAGGGGGAGTGCCATATCGGTATGGACACTCTCAGCAGGTCTGATCCATCCCGTCGTTCATTAACCACCGGGCTGGGGGGGGGGGGGGGGGGGG